AGGTTCTGACTGGGGTGGAGAAGGCGATCGGAAATGGGTAAGGATGCTTGTCGTAACTTTTAGGGGTAAAAAATAACAGAGACCTAGCTGGTACGTTTTAGGGTGTTTTTCGCTCAATAAAATACCTGAAATAAGCATTGCGATTTTAATGATATGACTTGAGCCTCTAGAGCACTTCGATCAAGGAATTTTTATTTTGGGGATTTTTCAATTTTTTTGCTTTTGAATTGGTACTTTTTAGGGGTAGACATCAATTGTTGCCACTCCCACACAGATAAGACTCAGGTACTTTTTATTATTTTATAAGGGTCGTTTTCGAAATTTCCGGCGCACACCCCCGCCCTCTTACGTAAGGGTGTCCTCGGGGGTGATGATACGTGCAGCACACTTGAAATTTAGCAAGGACAAATTTTGATGTGATTTTGAGTGAAGAGAACCAAGTTTTGTCAGCGTCTAATAGCTTGTGCGGAAGGGCCTTTACCATCGTGTGCATAATTACGCGTCCCGCCAAACGGCGGGAAGCCAACAAAGTGTTCAGACATTAGTATAGAAAACTCCGCCTCTGTCTGGATTTTTGGTAGCCTATTGACCAATTCCCAATCGAGACTTAAGTCTGACGGGACGCGTAATTTTGCTCACGGTGGCAAGTATGAATTTTCCAGATATCTTGCACGCTTGCCAATTCCCCTATCGGCTTTTGGAATTGACTTAACCTTACCACGCAATGGCCGGACACTTCTTCAGGCACTCTACATCTACTATTGGAACCACAACTCTACTCAACATCTATATGTGGGGCAAATTGTAAAATCATCGATATCTGTTAGTGTCTCGAAGATACCGGCAAGCGAAAAAATAAGATCAACTTCATTTTCTGGATCTGAAAACTTGCAACTCCGCGAGTGACTTGAAACGTCTTTTTACAATTGTGCAAGGGAACGACTTGAGATATGTAACTTCGGTCTTCTCGATAACTAAACCCACAAGTTCCACCAGCGAACGATTTAAATGAACAGCAAATCTCCATGTTTGCATGTAAGATGAGACGCTTACACAACAGATAATTACCTAAATCAGTACGTAGCTTGTCAATCAAATTGACTTTTGTAACCATTCTGTGACTTCGGCCGGCAAAGGAATCATGGATGGATCTTCAATTTTCTAAATGCAGCAATTCCTGAAAGGATTTTCTAGATATCATGCAAATAGGAAAAAAACCCATCCCTTGGTATTTCGGAGATTGATACATCTTTGAATTTATGTGTCTCGCCTGTCATGCAACTGATATAATAAGATTGAGAAGATAAAAAAACTGGAACTTAAATCTGGCTAGAATGTGGTAGAGCATAACGTGATCATCGAAACAGCTCATAAAATCATTAATAACCAAGGTAAGAGTGTTATGTTAGATTTTTACTGTTGTGGGAATTGCAACAACAACATCAACAAAAAATACAGAGACCAATCTCTCTCATCAATGTGGACAGCAAAATGGCTTCTGAGGCGTTAACAAAACGATTAGAACATATTCTACCTGACTTGATTCGTTATAACCAAAATGCGTATTTGAAAGTTAGATCATTATTTAATACGGTCAGGAGTATCGATGATGGATTAAACAAAACAAAACGGGCAGTCTAATATGGCATAGGTTAAAATATGGACTGGACTATTTTTTGGACTCTTTTTAGACCATTTTTTTTAACCATTTTATCGGGGGGGAAGCATACCATTGGTACAAAGGGAGGGGTGGGATGCAGTCTATCAGTATACTGAGGAAGGGCTGGGAGGCAGTGTTATTACTCAGGGAGGGGTGAGAGACGAACTATGACTACGCAGGGAGGGGTTGGAGGTGGTTGTAATAGGAAACGCTACTGGTTAATGGAGCGTTTACTCGATCATACAAATTATTTTAATCGGTTTTCCGACTGACCTTTTTAATGCCAAAATTTTTGCGCTGGGCCGAGAATTCGAGACTGTTTAAAATTGTTCTGTCCAGCTGGACAATGAGAGTCAAGTCCAAGTCAGAACTTGTTATATTTTGAACTTTGAGGGAACTTGAAACGAGAGCAGAATCGGAATTCGAAACAAGAAATTCCATGGCTCCATGGCCAGGATGTACCCGGGACTTTCTATTTCTTTACGGTTGGCTTAGTTAAAACCAATTCTATTCAGCTATCGCTCAATTTAATTTGCTTTACATTATTGAGTTCCAAAAAGCAAACAAACAAACTAACAAAAACCAAACCACAGTCAAGTGTTCTCCTTACCTTGACCATCAATGGTGATGGTGGGATGACACCAAGAAAGTCTGGAAGAAAGAAAAAATCAAAATGCAATATCATTAAAATTGTAAGATACCTACGCGCCAACATTCACTGAGTGCTATCAACTAGTGTAAGTAATTAATTGACCCCTCATAGAAAAAATCAGCCCATTGATAATCTTCGTATGAAGTCTTAGACCAAATGAGTTATCAATCAATGTCTTTATTTTTTACGTTGAGGTTTCTTAAACAAAGCTTTTCATTAACGTTATCCTTAAAGTGCCATAGTCACTATTTGAGATTGCACATTGAGTTCTTCCATTTTAACACTTATAAGGGTGAAATCATTATTGTTCGGCCTAAAATAACAAGAGGCAGAGAGCGACGTCGTAAGAGCCAACCGATCACAAAGTGTTTTTCTTATGTGCTGTTGAGAATGATGCGAGGTTTAAACAACTTAATATGCAGACAATATCTGCTCTGATCTTTTTCTGATCTTTTTTTGATAGTCTGGGGGTTATGTTCTGCCTGTCTAGAGTAAGCGTAAAATATTGATTATAAGCCAGCTCTCACGAGCTTTATCGGAAAATCGACAGAACATAAAAATAGCAGCTTTCTAGGAAGGTAGGTTTATTCAAAGTCATCTTTAAAAAAGGCATTCAAAAGGTCAGGCTGAAAAGAACAATTTTTTTACAAGACGCAGGAGTTCGATGCCAGCAAGACGTTGAATTCCGGGTGTGCAAGCGAAGAAGTCCAATACACCGTTGTTAAGGTGATATATTCAATGACACTCGCGTCTTGTTAAAAACGACCAAGGAATTTTTGAAGCAATTGTTTCACGAAATATAAAATAGAAGTATTAGTAAAATATTAATTCCAAAACCAAATACGTATCCCAAATACCACGCAGTAACGCATGATAAGTTTCTATTTGTTTTTCATGTAGAATTTAGCTCACATTTCACCTTCACCTCATAAAAAAATTTAGCGCTGACAAGACTCGAAGAAGAGTTAGGAAAATCACTGTCGTGCATATTCAATCTGAGAGTACGGTATGAGCCCATGGCCACGAAATGTCATCAACAGTAGGTTAAGGGTACATCAGTACTTGTGACGAGTAGGATGTTATCTTCTTGTATTAACATTGATATATGAAGGACAAAAGTAAAATAACTATTCGCTAACGCTTACCTAGAGAAGGAAGAGAGTTGGACTCGAACTTCCACTTCCCTGAGTTTTCAGCCCCAACTTCGTCGCGTCCAAAGTCTTTTTGGACACCCTGTGGAAAAGCCCAAGTCTGAAATTACCATTTGGTCGTCGTATATCTTCCAAAGAGGCTATTCCAGAGTTTCTGTGTATGCGTTTCAATTTTATTATCACGCTCCGACAATCTAAAAAACAGCCGTCATGTTGGATTTTCAAGCCACGCGTTTAGGCTAAGGTGCAAGTTACTTCTTTACTTTTGTGGCTTTTGCAATTATTATTCCATATATTTTTTTTAATGCGCCGCTTAGTATATTTAGTATAGTATATACTAATATATATACACTCAGTATATTTCCAGTTACTTATTCTTTATTGTGTGTTATTTCGTACCTTCGCATGTTGTTTACTCCAGGTTGCACGAGCAATAAGAGCAATGCCAAATGTGTTTGAAAAATACGACATATTCGATCATTATATACTTGCTGAGATTCACTCCGAGGGAAATTGTCTCTTAAAATAATAAACAGCACAAATTCTGATTGGTCGAGCAGTTTTTCACACAGGTGGGAAGTAATCGTCTGACCAATCATAGGCCGAAGGCGAAATTTTTCACCAGTGAAAACAATCGTATCGGTTTTCCTGCCTTTAGTGGCGCTGCAGCTCGCCAAAATGAATGAAATTGAATTTTAGCAACGCTCGCTGCTTTCCCAAAAAAATTGTAAAGGTATTCAAAGTATAACCCAATTATCCTGTGGTATCTGAACAAAAGCAGGTGAAAATGTCTCGTACTTTAAATAAAGTAACGAAAGAGAACTTGAAGAAAACGTCATTTAAAAAAAAGAGCTGTTTCATGAGATAAGGAACTTAGTAAGGTACCACTAAACAAGTTAAAATGTCGGTCACCGAAAAACAGAAAGCTGATATTTTGCGAATGTTTCCCATGGTCCTTCGTTGTCTTTAACTGATGAAACACATGGCCTGATTTAACTATATTCTCTATCGATATTTAAAACAACATGCCATTGGAGCCTCAGGATGCTCGAATTTTATGTCTGGCCCCCAAAATAAGTCTGAAAATAAACAGTTTAGTGCGTGCCGTTCATCAGCTTACTCTTGTGGGAATTGCAACAGCAACAACAAAACAATACAGAGACCAATCTCTCTTACTACTGTGGACACCAAAATAGCTTCTAAGGCGTTAGCCAAACAACTAAAGCATATTCTCCCTAACTTAATTAATTATAACCAAAGTACGTATGTGAAAGTTAGATTAATATTTGATATTTTTAGGAGTATCGATGATGTATTAGAATACACAAAACAAAGTGGGCAGTCTATTATGAAATAGGGTAAAAAACGAAGTGGGCAGTCTATTATGGAATAGGGTAAAATATGGACTGGACTATTTTTTGGACCATTTTTGGGACCATTCTTTGGACCATTTTATCAAGGGGGAAGCACACCATTTGTACTCAGGGAGGGGTGGGATGTAGTCTATCAGTACTGAGGGAGGGCTGGGAGGCACAGTGATATTACTCAAGGAGGGGTGAGAGACGGACTATGACTACGCTGGAAGGGGTGGGAGGTGGTTGTAACAGTAAACACTACTTGTCAATGGAGCTTTTACTCGATCATACATATTATTTTAATCGACTTTTCGACTGACTTTTTTAAACCAAAATTTTTGCGCTGGGCGGCGGCGTTTCTTCCATTTTTTTGTCATGCGAATGCAAAACTGCCACCTAAACACTGGACTTTAATCGTTATTGAATATATCGCGTCTACGATTCTCCACTGTTGGGTTATGCGCCTGGCTTTTGAGCAGAATTGTGCACCATCAGTTTCTTCACGTTTCCTTTTGTGTATACAGTATATAATTACTAAATTTTTCTATCTTACTTTTGTCATTGACCTTAGCAGACGAGATCACGGAATTTTCGGTTAGCCCTTAGCTTAGCTTAGCTTAGCCCTTAACTTAGCAGCATAGAATTCCTATGCGCTATCACAAAAAAAGCCACACTTAACTTAGAATTTTGATCGCCCAAAGAAATTGTACACTGGTGAAACATTACGAAAAGTGGGAATCTTTCATTCCCGTATTAGTGTGAGTAACTCCCCTTTCTACCATTCTACCATTAGTTTTATGTAATAAGCTAGTTTTATTAAACGTTCTACTTCCCTGCTCTCCGTAGTATTACGTACTAAAGAGTATTTCTCCTGTTCTATTTCTTATTCTTAGATAGCTGTTAACAAACATGAAAAAAAAAAGTTTATTTAAAATATGCAGATTTAATTTGGATTACCTTGCGAATCCTAGACTTCTTCATCTTCTTTCTCAGCTTAGAAAACATCTTTAAACTGTCCTTTTGGGAATTAAAGAAAATAATATCCTCAATATACTAAATTACTTTAGGGATATTTGAAATATGCAAAAAGAGACTTCCTTACAAAGGATATTCACTAAAATATTAGGAAAGAACAAGCGATTATAATTGGCAAAAATTAAGATATCAGAACTGAAAATGAACCCGACTTGAAGCGGCAGTATACGCAGAAATAGCGAATACGTATCGTATGTCATCTTGTAAATAACCTTCTTCAAGCGGTATGTAAATCCAAATTCACTGCAAGCATTGATTGAAATTCAAATTACTCCCCATTCGAACCTAGACTACTGAATTTTCCTTGAATCGTTGCAATTTCATGAGTTTCAGGCAGTCAAGAAAATAATCTACATTTCCTTTTGGATGAAGGAGCACGAATACAAAGATTTCCTGGACGGGCGAACGGACCGGAGGATAACATATTTTGAGACACCGATTAGGCCACCCCGCAGTAGGGGCAAAGACGAACGACATCATCGTCACGTCATTAACATAACGCGCAATGGCGAAGATGACTAGAAGGAAGTTCTGAACTTTATGTTAGATCACCGTGTGATAAATAAGTTGCAATATTTGGGGCAAGAACAATGCATCGTGTCTCTGGAAACATCCTCACGTTCGAACAGGATAGAAATTTTCTATTATGGGTAACGAATCGTAACGCGATGAATGTTCATTCGTCTTTTACTTTACAAGGCTAAAAGGTTTACATAACGATCATGATAAATGAAAGACAATGGTTCAGTTACACACCTTCAGATTTTTTTCCGTTAGCTTATGTGAGTCGAAGAGAGTTGATTTACCCGTATCTCAATACGAAGTGATCTACTCTAGAGCCAAACCAAGATGTTGAAAGTGGTGGTGGCCGACGCGAATCTGTAATGACGAAATTCGCTATTAATACCCATGTCATACACATTAGCTACGTCTTCGACCAAACCTACGCAGTCAAGCGACGAATCGTGAGTCACATGATATTCGTTCTCGTTCTCGTACCCCTTCGTGTCTCTCAAAGTTAAACTACTTTCATTCAATGATCAGCGTTGGAAAGCCTGTTGCATTTATGAAATACGACAGAAAAAAAAGATGTTGTCGCGCAAGAGCAAAAGAGCAAGAGAATATAAACTGTTTACATTCTCCTGATAACACATGACAATGCCTAAATAAAAAAAAGGTTTCTGGATTTTTCTGAAGTGAAAACATTATCTAACAAGTTATAAAAACTACAAAACCGTGCTGCACGTGTAATAACTTCATCAAACTATGATGTAGATGTCGATTCCTTGTTTCACAAATTAAACTCAGCAGGAAAGACTTGAAATCTCAACGTAGAATTCAGAACGCCGTAATGGTTTTCAGGTCTTTTTACGGTCTGGTTCCCAAATATCTCACGTCTAAATTTAGAAAGCGAAATTAATCAAACTATTCTCTGAGGGACTCAGTAAACAATAAACGTGTTGTCCCCTTTCAAAGAACTAACTACATGAAAAAATAGTTTTAGTTATAAAGGCGCAACATTCTGAAATAGCTTACCCTGTAACATTAGAGAGTCTGGTTCTTTAAACCAATTTAAATGCCTTCTCAATCATAATTTTTAAACACGGCATTCATGGAAATCAGGTTTTTAAGTGGCACATTGTTGTAAGTTAATATAATGTTCAGTTTAGGATTTGTAGGTTCTTAGGATATCAGTCATTGTATTGGAATTTTTTGTACCTGATGAATTTTTTTACCGTGTATAAATAATGATTAAATAAATACATTAAATAGATAAATAAATTTCAAGTCAAAAGGCGTGCTGTCTAACAACGAATATCAGGAAATATGTAAATAAAAACATTTTGTCAGGTTTCAATTTCTTTTGCGACTATCGGCACTTGTATTTGGCACGCTAAAGGCTAATATTGACAAGGAATTCGAAGGGTTCATTTGGTGAAAGTTCATTGAATGAAAATTGAAAAACGTATCAGGAAACTATCAAATACAACTTTTCGATCACCTTATGTTAATATTTTGTCTTCCCAGTTTTGAGTTCACAATCAAGCATTTTACAAGCTGTAAGTAGCAATTTTCGCGTAACAATCGAAGTTTGTTGAAAGATCCATGGTAAACAACAAACCATGTGGCTGTGCTATTCTTTTATTTAATGAAGTGAAGAAGAAAACAGTTTTCAGGTAGGTATTTGCAAGGAGTGAATTTGCCATACGTCTGTAATCGAGCAGAAGGGGTTAAATAAATTATGACCGTCCCATTTTAATGCATCGAGTACCCAACTGCAAAAAGAAAAAAACCTTAATCACGTTAAAAAAAAGAAAGAATTGGAAAGTTTTCAAGCTCCTCAAGCTGTTGTTCTAATTCTGTTTCCCTTTTCTCTCCATCCAACCACGTTAACCCCGTGTAATTCCACGGCGAAATGAGTTCAGTTACATTTTGAAAGGCCTGGGAAGCAAAAAAATGCATAACTGTGTTAAAAATTACTTGCTCTTTTCACTAACGTCAAACAATGTCTTCATTTTTCAAATGTGATTCTCTGGTTCTGGAAAAAAAAATTATTTTATGTTGCATAGTTGCAGAGTAACGGGGACACCATGTATGTTTGATATCATGAGCTTGATCCGGTCTTTACTTTGAATAGTTTATTTTCTGTGCATTTCTCAGAGTAAATCTGAAATTTGAAATTAGGAAGGTCATAAGGAAGGTCATTTATTTGAATTTTGGATATAATTCAAAGTGTAAATATCACAAGAATTTTCTCGAGTTTTTTAATAATTAATCTTGAGTTTAGAAAATATAATACTCAGATACCGACTGTTAGTTCATTGACATGATCTTTATACGCAAAGATCTTTTTTGAGCTAAATAAATTTTCTGTTTTTCTTATTTCTCTTCGGGAACATCGGTTTTAACATAATCGGTTGCCGTCAAATTTTACCACAAGCGCTGAATGTTTATTCTCATGTTTGTACCTTAGGCGAAATTATCATCGGGATACCGCTTTAACAAACACATCTTTGCGATATTACTTTCAGGATCTTAGATAAACAATGCAGGTGCCGATGTTGAAACAAAAGCCTCGTCGCCAAATCAATCAACAAAAAAAAATTGATAAAAAAGTTGCGCTGGTGAGAGGAATTGAAATTAACGATCAGTCTGGGAAGACTTGAAATAAACCATAACTGCGACCTTCAGAGAGAGCTGAAAACGCAAAAGTAAGTTTCTCTGATAATGACTGAGTGCCTTGTATTCCAAAACAAAAACTTTGAAATTTAAATTAAAAATCTATTGGTGGGAAAATGAATACTTGCTATTTTTAAAGTAAGAATTCTTGATATGTATAATTCTGAAGTTTCCCGCGCCAATCTCAATTTTAGGGTGTACACATTGAAACAAATAACCTTCAAATTGCCGAAACCGCTCGATACAACTTACTAAATGCTGTATCTTTCGAGCGCCAATGATTGGCGAAATTCGTACCAGGTTAAAAATTGAATTCATCAAAAAATCTCATTTTCGGTGTTTTAATTTAAAAGCTTAGACAAAACACGATTTACAAAAATGTCACTCATATCCGTTATAATCAATCATTAGTTACAGTTTTACGTTAAATCTTTACATAAAGAAAACGAAAAAATTTTTTAAATGTTTCATGTCAGTGAACCTGCTATCAGTCATTCATATGAAACTATACCGGATAATTTTATCGTTAACTCAGGCTGGTACTCTAAGATCAAATTTTAAGGCCGAAGAGTTACCCCGCCTCGAAAAGTGAGTTCAAAGTAAATAACTTTTGCAATCCTTGAGAAATAATAGCCCGCTGAATTAGCAATGAAATTTATAATATTCAGTGACGTGCTTTTCGTAATTCTTCAGAGTGACTTTTCAGCATTTCCAATTATCAAACTAAATGCTCAAAAGGTATCCACCGGCGTAAATAATAAAAGTGATACTACAGGCATTAATGGCAGGGCTCTAAAACGCCTCTTTTATTCTATATTGGCAAGTTTTTTGGGGAGTAATCTTCACGAATAAGTTTTGTTGAAAAATTAAACGTTTTCCTTTCAGGTAGAAACAGTCGTCGTGGAACAAAAACAAAATGCCCTTAAGATTGAAATGCAAATTTTGCGCAACGTGCATTGCTTTCTGTAAACAATAAGTAGATTCATTACCTTCCGTAAATCAATAACCCACATAAAACTTTTTAAGTAGTATCACACCCTAAGGAAAGTCCCATAATAGGGAATTTTTAACAACGGCCACCACAGCCCTTACATAGGGTCTGAGAGGAAACCATTGAAATTTTTTTAAGAACGACATTTTTTCCGCTTAATTGTAAAACAGCGGGTTCCGATTTCCCAGGTAATCTTAAATAATTCGAAAGAATGAACGCGCTTACCCCTTTTTTCGCTTTTCATGTTTAACGTGCTGGAACTAGACACGTTATAATGAAGACACATTCCACTTAGATTTATAACTAGCGGTGAGAAAGCTGCCTCTGTTATTTGGTTGAAATAACGCTTTAACCGAAAACCTTAGGGCTTTTTTTTTCATTACCAACAGCTGCCAGCAAGAAGGAATTGAGTGGAATCAACTTAGTTACCACAGAATCCTACGCGCTAACAGAAGGAAACGGCCGCGAGAACTGACACTAAAAGAACAGCTGTAAACAATTCTGGTGAGTTTTTTTCTTCCCTGCCTATTGAGAGTTAAATGAGAGCTGTTAATTCGTTAAGTCGCTCAGGGAAAATATGAAAGGCATTAAAGTCGCTCGGCATATTCTGGGACCCTTCGAGATTTTTCAGCTAACTATTATAAACCACAAAATTCCATTTAGACCTTTTTGCTAGAATCAAATTTTCTACCTCAGTTATCGACTCGTGTGTTGATTGCCTGATCAATTCGACTATAAGCGTCATTTGGGGAATATTTATCATTTCTTTGGCGGCTTTTTTTTGAAAACTTTAAATAAATTTACACGAAAATGACAAGTGAACGCAAATTTGAAAACTGGTGGTTGCGAAAAAATTAACCAAAATCTATGCATACCATGCATAAAAAAACATTCCGCACCACTGAACTAAATTATCTCATTAGTCACTTTCTCGCTCAAAGAGCTATTTTTCTTCTATTAAAGGATCTTCAGCTTAGTAGAGGATACATCCCTTTAAACGCATTACTGCAATCATGAAATATCTGATAATTACAAAACCTGCGATCAATCAATCGTGAAATGAAAGGTTTTAGAATGAACCGAATTGGGTTTTTTCCTATTTAATTATCGGTAATTATTTTGTGTTTTAAAGGTAAAATCAATCTTACGTAGGTGCTGTCATCGAAAGTCAGAATAAGGTACGGTAGAAACCCACAAAGAAACACATCGGCTCATAAGCAACGGGGGAAAATTACCGTGCGCTGCGGGAATGTCGAACAACACGGAAGCCGAGATGACGAGCTCTATCGAGCAAAACGTTAGCCTAGGTTTCTACATCGCCATCATTGTAACTGGTTTAAT